TATAGTTCCGGAACAAAACTCATCTAATCTCATATTCATTTTCGAATAACATCTCATCATCACAAAATCAATCGTTATACGAACCTCTTATTCGACTCCATCCTAAATTCGAAAAGCTACTTACCTAAAAAACTTGTGTCTTTATCCCATTGGTGCAGAGAACGTTTTGGCATTATTATAACGAGAAAATGCAATTGAACTCACTATATCAATTTTGTTACACCAACTGTGTGGTGTGGTCTATAATACCCTGAAAAACTCACGACAGTTATAACTCCATCCCTATTAAAATCGCAGTGATAAACTGCTCTTTACAATATGGGATATCATGAAACGAACGGCTATTGCTGATATTGCTCTCTATGAAACGATAGACGAACTTACCAGATATTGGCAACTATATTTAGTAGACCTTGGGTACATCATACCCCACCACACAGACGATCGAAGGGTTAACCCTTAATTACCCGCGCTACGAAGGTAGAAATTTTTTGTGGCTCTTCGCGAAATGCACTACAGGTGCGACATCTATGTTTATTCAATGGAACCGATATAAAGTATATTAAGTATTTCTTGCTATAAGTGGTAGTAGTGTATCTATTTTCAATGTTTTCGCCTTGTTACTAGATTTTTGGACAACAAATTGAGTTAAGTGATAATCTTTAATGAACATTGTTTCAAGATGACTGAATTAAAACGGACTGCAGAAGTCAGGAAATTCAATACTAGGCGTATTTGCTCAGTGTCCCAATGTACCAGTCATACCACAGATAAAATATCTCTGCACTATTTTCCACTTGAAAACAAAGATTTATGCAAGAAGTGGCAATTTTCATAAAAAATTTTAAAACCCATTGCAAAGTGGATGTGTGTTTGCAGTGAGCATTTCTTGGGGACCGATTTTATCAAAGGTGAATATTTGAGGTTATGTAAAGGGCCCCTGATTTTCCTGCTTTACATGTACAAATGCAATTCCATTTGTGGGGATCACAATCCAAATTAATAGTTATTTCGTGGGGTGGTGAAGTAAGAGCACTCGTTTGCAAACATAGGCCAAATATTCTCTGACTCTGACAGCTGCTGATATTTTCATTATCTAGCTGACATAAGATAATATGACCAGCCTTGAAGACGGCTTCGCCTTCTTTGATTGGCCTTTGACGAATACCTACGTAGGCAAAAATGTCCGACAAACTCACTTTAACTTTCGACATTCTGGACAATTCAGTAGAATTTGAATAAAAACGAAATCAAACACAA